TCACGACACTTTTTTTTTTTTTTTTTTTTTTTTTTTTTTTTTTTTTTTTTTTTTTTTTTTTTTTTTTTTTTTTTTTTTTTTTTTTTTTTTTTTTTTTTTTTTTTTTTTTTTTTTTTTTTTTTTTTTTTTTTTTTTTTTTTTTTTTTTTTTTTTTTTTTTTTTTTTTTTTTTTTTTTTTTTTTTTTTTTTTTTTTTTTTTTTTTTTTTTTTTTTTTTTTTTTTTTTTTTTTTTTTCACCTTCCCCACTTTTTCGACAGCCTTTCCAGGTCCATCTCGTTGAGCTCTTTGATCAATCCTCCTGACTTTATCGCCCGTCTCTTTCAAAATAAAAGTTAACACATATTGCTGAAGTTAAAATGAACGATATAGCAGTTGTTAACCGACATTATCACGGTGATAATGAAACAGTTCAACAAAGCGATTGCAGATCGGCGTTCAATTGATAATGGTGATCTCGGATAGGCAACAGTCATGTTCTCCAGATCGGTCACCGAATTTGACGGTCAGCAGCGGTCGATGTCGATCACGGTGTTGGGTGCACTAATCACACACACACACACACACACACACTTTCACCACTGCCTGTCGCCCGGCCGCCAGACCACCGCCGCCCGCTTCTGCCTGCCGCCGCCCGCCGCTGCCGCCCGTTCGCCGCATCGCCGTCGTTTCGCTGCACACAGCTGCTGCTGCACCCTGCTGCCTGGCCTGAACTCCTGACTCTGACTCTCAACCGGCTTCCAGATCCTTCCTTCCCAGCCCCACTTTCACACCAGCCTGGCCTTTTCTAAACTGCTATACCCAACCTACCTGTGCAGGCAGTGCTGCAGGTTAATGACAGGTATAATGAGTGCCTTTACCTGGCGTACTTATATAACCTCACGCAGGGCACTGAATCGATAAAGTTCAACTCTGTTTTCGCTCTTCCTGCCTGGTGTCAACATGATGGTGTATCCTGCAGTGTGTTATGGCCCATGAGAGTATTTGTTTTAATATTCTGTTTATTAGTATTAGTTTACAAAGCGTCATCACTGGGAATTTGAGGAAATCAGTTTGGATTTTTTTTTCCTGAAGCTGTTCTCCTTTCACCCTCTTGATGTCAACCTGTAGTCTCACATTATCTTCCTTAATGTGTTGTTATGTAAGTATATAATCTGCTCACGTAGCATCATCGTCGTTTGTCCATGCTGTGGGTGGAGTTTCATTTGTGTTGATGATGCAGTAGATGGCAAGGAAAACACACTGCTCGTAAGTGGAGCTACTACGCGTTGCCTTACTAAGTTTAACACCTCCAGAAAGTTGCATAGTATTTTTTTTTTTAGGTGTTGGCAGGGGACCCAAGTGAAGGACTGGTGGTGGGTGACGGGTGCAGGGGACATGGTGACGGTGTGCAAGAGACTGGGGGTGGTGACTGAGGTGGAGGCCTGGACTGCAGGAGGGAGAAGGGGGATATCGTGGGGAGGAGGGCTGGTGGGATTAGGGGTGAAAGGGGAGAGGCAGATTCGGTAAATCCTGTTTTCTGAGACAAGAAGGAAACTCCCCACAGGTGGTAGTGTGAAGACATCAGGTGGGGGTGCTGGAGGGTAGTCTGTCCAGAACAACAGGTTAGACGGAAGAGGGGCGTGGTAGGCTAGGGAGGCGTGGTAGACAGGAGGGTAGACAGGGAGGCGTGGTATTGGAAAGAGAGTGATTGAGAGGGAAGAGTGGTGAGCGGGAGGTAGGAGGAACGAGTGGAAGGAGGAGGGCGGTAAGATGTAGGCGTTGGGATCTAGAGGACTTAACTGGCGCCTCCCTGACCTGCTGTTCAATAACACACGTCGCCACGCCCGCCATGCCATGACAGGTTGTCTCCCACGCCATGACAGGTCAACACGCCTCCCACGCAGGTATTAACATGACTCATCCTTGAAATCAGATCATAGGTTCATAAGTCAGCTCAGGTCCATAAGTCATAAGGTTCATAGATCAGGTCACGGCTTAATAAGTCATGTCACGGGGTCATAAATTATTATCACGGGTTCATAAGTCAGGTCACAGGTTCATAGGTCAGGTCATGGGTTCATAGGTCAGGTCATGGGTTCAGCTCAGGGCAAGGGTTCGCAGATCAGGTAATGGGTTCATAAGTCAGGTCACTGGGTTCTTATCTCCAGGGCAAGGGTTCATAGGTCAGGTCATGGGTTCATAGCTCCTGGCAAAGGTCCATAGTCAGGTCATGGGTTTATATGTCAGTTCATGGGTTCTATCACCAGAGCAACATAGGTCAGGTCATGGGTTCATAAGTCAGGTCATGGGTTCTTATCTCCAGAGCAAGGGTTCATAGGTCAGGTCATGGGTTCATAGCTCCCGGGCAGGTCCATAGTCAGGTCATGGGTTTATATGTCAGTTCAAGGGTTCTTATCACCAGAGCAAGGGTTCATAGGTCAGGTCATGGGTTCATAGCTCCAGGCAGTGTCTACAGGTCAGGTCATGGGTTTTATATGTCAGTCTGCGGGTTTATATGTCAGTTCATGGGGTTTATATGTCAGTTCATGGGTCCATAGCCCCAGGGCAAGGGTTCATAAGTCAGGTCATGGGTTCATAGCCCCAGGGCAAGGGTTCGTAAGTCTGGTCACGTGTACATAAGTTTGGTCACGTGTTCATAAGTCAAGTCACGGGTTCATAAGTCAAGTCACGGGTTCATAAGTCTGGTCACGGGTTCATAAGTCTGGTCACGGGTTCATTAGGCTGATCACGGGTTCATATGTCTGGTCATGAGTACATAAGTCTGGTCACGGGTTCATTAGTCAGGCCAACAGTATGTGCAGCAGTTAGGTAGTAGGCAGCTATCAAACAGGGAGGTACTACCGCCTGGGAAGATATTGAAGCATAATGTGTTGCCAGGGTAATTCTCAGAAAAGTGCAGCAGCAGGCATAAGTAGTTCAGTAGTAGGTGCAGCAAGCAGCAGTAGATGCAACAGCAAGCAGCAGTATGTGCAGCAGCAGTTGGCAGCAGTGACGGCAGTAAACAAAGCAGCAGGCAGCAGTAGCAGCAGCAGCAGGCAGCACAGAAGCATGTAGCAGTGAGTGCAGCAGCAGGCAGCAGTTGGTGCAGCAGCAGGCAGCCAGGGGTGCAGAAGCAGGCAGCAGTGGAGGCAGCAGCAGGCAGCGGTGGGTGTAGCAAGGAAGCAGTGGGTTCAGCAGCAGGCAGAGTGGGTGCAGCAGCAGGCAGCGGTGGTCCAGCAGCAGGCAGTAGTGGCACAGCAGGCAGTAGTGGAGCAGCAGCAGGCAGAAGAGTGAGTCAGCAGCAGGCAGCAGTGGAGCTAACAGCAGTGCAGCAAAGGGCAGCAGTGAGCAGCAGGCAGCAGTGGGTGCAGCAGCAGCGGGGTTCAGAACAGGGCATGGGTTCAGAAGCAGGCAGCAGTGGCAGCAGACAGCAGCAGTGCAGCAGCAGGCAGCAGTGTTCAGAAGCAGGCAGCAGTGGGTCAGAAGCCAGCAGTGGGTCCAGGCAGCAGTGTTGCAGGCGCAGTGGGCAGCAGCAGCAGTGGGTCCAGCAAGGCAGCAGTGAAGGTTGTGGTGATATTTACACAGTGACGCAGCAGGTTAGGTGACATTTATCTGGTGGTTACCACCTCATGAGCCACCCCTTCACCTAGATCCTCACCTGCCCCTCACCTGAGGTACCCCACTTCACCGTCCTCTCACCTGAGGTACTTCACCCGTCCTCCTCACCTGAGGTACCTCACTTGACCGTCCCTCCCTCACCTGAGGTACCTCATTTCACCGTACCCCCTCACTAACTCCACCTCATTTTTGCTGATAGTGGTAGTTGTGGTATTGGAGGTGGTGGTAGTTGTGTGGTATTGGTAGTGGTGGCAGATGTGGTGGTATTATTGGTGGTGGTGTTAGTTGTGTGGTATTGGTGGTGGTGGCAGATGTGGTAGTATTGGTGGTGGTGGTGGTGGTATTGATGACATTGGTGGTGGTATTGATGACATTGGTCGTGGTGGTAGTAGTGATGGTATTGGTGGTAGTGGTGGTGTCAGGCTCGACATGACTTACTTCCAGGTGTGTTGTGACTGATGGATCGTTATCCTCTGTAGTTCAAACCATCGCTCGCGCTTTGTTCTATTTTGACATCAGTGGTCGATTTGGATGCCCCTGCCTCAGTTATCTCCGTCGGCGACACTTGTTGGCTATTTTGAACAATTCGATCCAGTCGTACACGATTCGTTTGGTGAAACTTATCCACCAGACTCTCATTAGAAATTGTATATTAACATTAGTCCTCTTATGCCTCAGTCCACCAAAACAATCGACAGCTCGTTGCTTGAGAGAGGCGCCATGTTTACGCACGATTGTAACAGTGTCAAGGTGTGTTGAGGATTGTGGCCCCGCCATCGGTCACTTCGTGCAGACACTTCTTGAAAGAGAATTTAATTGTAGATATATTTTTACTTACCTTTGTTCTCGTCTATGAATAAACATTAAAACGTGTACGCCATTATTGCAGGGCAGAGTACACCAGTCTTCTGTTTCTTTATTGCTCAACGTCTTGGTAAGTAACAGTGCAAACACCAGCCTCTGGACATTCTGTGAAGTAAAACTTAACTGTTTAAAATTGAGCCAGAAATACATAAACTGAATTAGATTTTTTTAGGTATGAGATTGGTTTGATTTTCATTTAAATATTTCTGCGTATTATTTAAAATATAATTCGACAACAGATAATTGAAATTCATTGACAAAATAAAGGCGCAAACCTCACATATACAAGTGACACTTTTACAATTAATGTGAATGACTGCTGGCAAATATTAAGAGCACCCGTCCAGAGTAAACTCTTGAACTCCCACAACTTGTGTATAACTGACTGACTGACGAAGTGTTAACTAGACAAGTTGTGGAGGATTTGGGTTTAGTCTGTCCTGGCAGCTTGCTGTACCCCACACACACACACCCAAACACACACACACACACACACACACACACACCCAAACACACACACACACACACACACACACACACACCCAAACATTACAATTATGTCAGTCCAGATTTACACTATGACCACCTGACATTCAGACCACTTTCTTTGGTGTCGAAGTGTATAGGACACGAATACACACATTGTTAAAGGCAGCTGGTGACAGGTCAAATGAGGTCGCAGACACGTGTAAACAGATGAGCAGAACCAAGATCTAGGAGCCTATGAGGGGGTGTGTGAGGGGGGCTATTCAAGGTTACCGCCCTGTATATAAAGGTCACACGGCCACACTATATAGTTCTGAGATTGACACTGGTGATGTGTTGGAGGAAAGACTGTGTGTACTGCAAGTCTCTGCTTTAACTGTAAACAATGAACCTGACTGGTGACTGTGATGAATTTATCTGGTAACTCCTTAATGAATCTAACTTGTGAGTGGTGACTGTGATGACTCGTATATGAACTGTAAATAATGATTGTAATTCTCAGCCTATAAGACACTGTACAGGTAACTATAGTGTATCAGTTCCAGCGTTTTAATACAACTCAGCTGACTCATCCTCTTCACCACTGCACCTTATTAGCTGTGGTCCAGTGGTCGTTACTGTTTATTGCACACTGTTGGTACTGTGTTGGTACTGTTGGCACTGTGTTGGTACTATATGTTGATAATGTCTGTTATTATTTTGGAACTATATTGGCACTTAGAACTACTATGTTGGCACTGCGTTGGCAATATGTTGGAACTATGATGGCAATACGTTGGAACTATGTTGGCACTTTGTTGGTACTGTTGGCACTGTGCTGGTACTGTTGCTTTTTACTGTTTTGTACTGTTGACACTGTTTTGATACTGTTGGCACTGTTTTGACACTGTTGACATTGTGTTGGCACTGGTTTGTTCATATACAGCTGGTGAACCGGGTACTTATGTAACAAACCTGGATATCACTTCGTCTTCTGAGTGCTCGGTTTAATATTTATACACAGTTCACCTTGACATTTTACCATTCAATCTGGGTTTGATCAGTAAAGTACATGAGGTGCGTCTGATCACGTGTTCATGGTGGACAGCAATTACAATAACATCAGAATCGAGAAGATGAAACACTGACTAGGAGAAACTGAAGAAGAGGAGAACGAGTTTTTCCTCAACAGAAGCTGGGTGAGAGAGGGAACAGCAAGGGACTTAGGAATAAATGAGGTAAAGTGGTACAGATAAGGAGCACTCAAGTGGGCTGCCAGAAAACTGTATAGGAGTGTTTTGAGATAAACTTGCAGGTCATCGCGTTGGGATGGAGGCATTGTGGCAACTGTGGGGAAAAATGTAAACTTTTTATCCAGAGATCTGAATAAAACTTCTGGACAAGTGATAAACTCTTGTAGGAGATCAACAAAACCCAGCGAGGATGTATTTTGGGAGGTGTTTTGACGTGGAGGAAGAGCCTGATAAGAGATAATCGGAAGAGATGTTTGGAGTACTTTAAGAGATGATGAGAGTGATGAAGATGTAGATATACTAGAACTAGAAATTTAAAAGAGCATAGAAGAGGTAGAATGAAGCAGAGGTCAGTATGAAAGAGGAAACAAGGCAGGTGATAAAACAGTAAATAAAGTAATTCAGAGGATATAGATGATCTTCTACTGATATAATGAAAGAGAGACAGATTGAGAGATCACGACTGAACAAACGTAAACAAATCTTTCTCTATCGTACGGTATACCCAGAGGCTCGAGGCAGGGTGTTATGGTTTACACACAAAAACAGATGTAAGAATGTATACGTAACCAACCATTTAACTGCGATGGAAGTTTAGTGATAGGCTACTGACCCATTGCGTGAGAATCTTGCAAGGTAATTCATTGTAAAGGTGGAAGGCGCCTCTAGGTCAAGATGATGATGTACAGTCAATTCAAAATACTATCTCTACTGGGTGATCGATGAATTTCAGAATGAACACTGCGACTCCTTTTGTCTCGGTAGGGTTGTCAAATTTCTTCGTCCGTTTTGTCATATTTTCAACTCAATTTGTATAGATAGTTTTTTTTAAGTGACTGTACTGTAGTGTATACCCAGGTACTTACACGGAGATGGTAATAAAGAAGTATTATTTTCATGAACTATGCAGGTCTTACTGAAGGCTGTCGAAAGAGTGGGTGGGCGAGTGATATCTGAACTATACCTGGGTAACTTTATCCGGGGTGTTTAATGTATCCTGGGTGAAATAATATGGGAGAGAAGCTGGATATTTTGTCTATATTAGTTAGGTTAGGTTAGGTAGAGATAGAACAAGATTAGAGACCAATAACGATGATGAAAAACCCAAAGAAAAAAATATTGGAAAAACGGGAACTAAAATAAAGAGAAATAAAGATGTAATAAGAATTTGTTGGATAAGGTGTGTGTGTGTGTGTGTGTGTGTGTGTGTGGAGGCGAGTGGATGAGAGAAAACGGAGGTATTGTGGAGACGGGAAGTGAGGCAGGAGAGAGTGGTGAGAGAAAGTATGGAAGTGACAGGAGATAAGAAAGTACTATGGGAATGGCAGAAAGAAAGTATGAAAGACACAAGAAAAAGAAAGTATAGAAACGAACCTCTTGAAATATTGAAGATTCATTTTCTATAAATATTGTTACACGTTGAGGGAAAGAGAAAAAAGTGTGTGTGGAGTGTTTTTCATTTCTATGTCAATCCTTTCATTCTGTTATCTCTATACTTTTCTTACAGCTCTCCTCTTCCCTTTCCTTCCTTGAGTGAGAATTTTGTTTCTTGATCCACCCCCACCGAGCGAGAGCGGAGGAGAGATAACTGATAGATGGATGGATAGATAGATAGATAGATAGATAGAGAGATAGATAGAGAGATCTTCTGTATATAGCATTAAATCTCGATCCAGTAGACATGCTTGAAAACCACTACAGTCTACATAATATATTTTACTTAACTAACATCTTAAACTTTATCATTCAGCGATGGGGATGTGATGCATAAATGACATGAAGCAAGAATACAACTATGACTACATGTATATATTGTATGTTTCTGTGTATTTATTTTAAAGGTTGCTCCCCAGACGTCCTGCTTAAAATCAAATTCTTCCCCCCAAGTTATTATAGACGTAGAACATGCTTTGAGACCGCGGCAAAATTCACCCTTCTGTAGGTAATAAGTAAGGTCTTATATTACAAGGCTGATATAGGTTAATGATAAGTTGGCTAAGGTTTGAAACACTCTAACAACAGAAGCTGTCCTTATACTTTACATTAATATTTAATATACTACATATCACTAATAAACTGTATTACAAAACATGGCAGGAGCTGTACCTGGTAACTCATGCATTCATTATCAAACAAGAAAAAAAAACTGTGCTGCTAATATGAGCTAGAGTCGAGGCCACTTGTCAGAATTCTGTCGGTGTTTCATATTGTTCGGTGTAAAGGTGTGGATACTTTTTTTTTGCTGGGTCGACCGTGTAAAGGTGCGGATATTTTTTTTGTTGGTCGACGGAGTAAAGGTGCGAATATCCTTTTTTTGCTGGGTCGACGGAGTAGCGGTAAAGCGGATACTTTTTTGCTAGTGATGGTGTAAAGGTGCTAATACTTTTTTTGCTGGGTCGACGGAG